GGAAGCTCTCCTGCAGCCCCCCAATTGCCCCCTCTCCCCAGATGGCAGCCTGCGGCAAGTGCAGCCAGTCTGATGGCCGAGTGCTGTGATGTGCCCAGTGTGGGTACTCCGGGCAATCCAAGCCAGGACTGCTTTGCAAGCGGGGCACCCCTGAGAACTGTCTGTCCGGGGTGGGAGTCGGGTCCCTTTAAGCACAGCCCTCGGCTAGCCTGAGACAGCAGCTCCACGCTCTAAGTCCTCATCTGATGCCCTGCCGGCACTGCTTCCGGCCATCCTTAACCCCGGTTCAGGGTCCACTCTGTGTGGACATGCTAGTTCGAATTAGCAAAACGCTAATTCGAACTAGTTTTTTAGTCTGGATGCACTAGTTCAAATTAGCTTAGTTCGAATTAGCGCTGTAGTGTAGACATACCCTTAGACTTTCACAGGTGTCTGGAGTTCGAGCTCCTAGCTTGATGAGGTACCTTCAACTGAGGGTGACCCCCCCCCATTTGGGACAAGTTAAGCATAGTTCTGCTCCCCTTTAGTCACTAATAAAAATAATAGTGAATTGCAACATTTCACTATCCCTGCATTGAGTACTAAAGTGATTTGTTATCCAACCCCAGCCAAAGTTGATTACTTTGAGCAATATCACTCTATCTGCTGGATATATAGGCACAGTAGGTGTATTGGTGTAAATACAGTTTGTTCCTGAAGTATCTTCCCCTCCCAGCTAGCTGTCAGAGAGAACTCATTCAGACTCCACTTACATCTTTATGATTTTTCTTTCTTTTGGCTAAGCCTGAAGATCCGAGTCTCTGATAATGAACAAACCAAATGTGTGTGAGATGCGACGTAAAATAATGTGACCTCTTGAAATTAATTACCATAATGAATATGCAAATGTGCAAATAAAATGTAACCGGTCCACCAAAAGTTTGTGAATAGGTTTGCTGGTCCACGGTATAAAAAAAGTTGGGAACCACTGCTATATATGACAACAGTGTCCCACTATCTTAGTATTTTATTCTGTCACACCAAAATGGGTTAAATTATGAGGCAGTAAGGGCAGAATTTCCAACGTCCTTCAGTTTACTTGACCTTTCAGACCCTCCTGTCTGTATCACCGTAGTAAATAGTCACAATTATGCTACTAATCTCAATTCACAGAGGAACCCAGCTGATGCAGTGACTGTTGCTTCTTTCCTGAAGGGATATATGGTTGATGAGTATGCAGCCATGAAAGCAAGATGGGAAGAGGCATCCAGAGAAACAATCAAGAAAACAACCAAACCGTGTCCTAGTTGCCATGTACCAGTAGAAAAAAATGGTGAGTTTATTGGAGAGTGAGTAACACTTGCAGTGACCTCCCTTTTTTAAAATTATTTTACAGTACAGATTTTAAAAAAGAGCCTAGTTTTCCCTCTCCTATGGTTTCTAAATCACTTTGAATATCACCTTCTATGCAAGAATCACAAAATGCTTTACAACCATGAATTAAGCCTCACAAGATGTTTGTGAGGTAGACAGGTGTTATCTAATTTATAGGCAGGGAAAATGAGGCTCAGAGAGCATAAAGTGGCCTACCCAAAATCAAACAGTGAGTCAGTGGAAACATCAAGAGTTCTGATAACCAGTTCCTGGAGCAAATCACAAGTCTGAACTCGTGCAAACATTGACCCTAGTGTGAGTTAAGCAGGCACAGGGAGGGATAAACAGACCTCAGTCAATGGGCATGTATTATTTGCCTCTGTACACAAAACCAAGATGTAACACAAAGCACTAATATGAATTAGTCCAGCGTTACTCTTCTTTCTCATAATGTTTCTATTACAAATTATATATAGGTATTTACCACAACCTAATTAAATGATGACACAGTATTATGAGCAGGATTGAACTTTGTAATAGGTTATTATCAAAGCTCATTGAAATTGACATGGGAATGGACCGTTCACTTTCAAAAATAATGTTGAAATAGTTAAGAAGGTAATGAACTGATGAGCTTGTCCAGCCTGAAAGAGAAGTCTGGTAGCATGAGGCCCTACTCTTGTAGAAAGAGGGTGCAGATCCCCTGAGCTGAAAGGGAGAAAAGACTGAGACTCTGAAGTAAACCAGGATACTTCCAAGGCCCAGGGAAGAGAAGAGAGGCCAGGATCCTGATGGGAGCTGTCTACAGGGATTTTTTTCCTTCCTTTTCTTTCATACCTTCATGTAACATTACTTGCTGACTGGAGGCTGTTTTGTTGTTTCATCTGGGACCCATAAAGGAGAAGAAAGGGCCAAGAGACCTCAGCTGGAGGGCTGAATGTTGACCCGTTAGCAAGTCATCCCCTCGAGAGCACTCATTGGGGTGGAGCTAATTGGACCCACATGCGTGCATTACCCACATAGATCCTATAACAAGGCCTGACAAAGTCATCCCAGGAGTTTTAGATTGAAAGGCTGTGAGGCTTTTGGCTATTGGGATATCATTTGTTTTGGATGGGAGGAAGACAGGCAGAACCTAGCAATAGAGACTAGACAGAACAAAGAAGGAGGCAGAGGTAATCAGGAAGAAAACTAAGCAAATGCCATTAAACATAGGGTGACCTCGTGGAAAAAGCTGAAGTGAAAACTTTAATGAATATTTGCCACAGAGGTTTGAGACTGAAAGCTAAGAAACTGGAGGGGGGGATGTTTGTTTTTTTCGTGGTGATCTCTGCACTCAGACACACATTACTTTAAAATGAACAGGAGTGCATCAAACAAAATACCAGACTCCATCAATTTCTACTTCCAACAGAAACATCTCTAGAGCCCTGAACTTTGCTGAGCTGCTTGGGTCAAAAAAGGAACAACAATATGAAGTATTAATAATTAATTGATGCTATTAATTGACATGAGTTATTCACGCAGGGCTTTACAATCAGAGTAAGACATGTTGCTGACCCCAAGAAGCTAATGCTGCAGATAGGAAAAGGAGTGGAGAGATTATTAGGAAGGAAATAGGAAGAAGGGGGATTTAAGGAAGGAATGGATAGGGAATTTGACACATGGGGAGAAAGGGGAGAAAGAGGGCAAAGAGGGAGGAAAGGATTTAATTATTTAGAGTCTTAAAATAAATCTTGACATTACAGATCTTGAATAGGTATAGAAAAGCTAGAAATTGCCACTATAAATCATTGACCATACTGGGAAAAGTGCTGAAGTTGTGACCATCTCCTCGCCACTCTTCGCAACAAAATCTGTTTTAATCTATGGAAAACTACCATCGTGATCTTTTCTCTACTAGATGCATGAAGAACATATTTGTATTACTCCCACTAATGGATATGCACGTTTCTTGCATACTCCACTAAGACCAAGAGAATAGACCTCATTGTAGTTTTTTCTGTGCATTACTGTAAAGAGAATTGTTACACAAAATGGCAATAAACAGGACAAGACTATCCCTTGTTTGTAACCCAACTCAGGTCAAGGGATGTGTCAGAATGCAAAATCTCCAAGAAATAGTAGCAAGTTAGGAATTGTACTAGAACTGAGGCGTGAAGTACAAAAAGGTGCTGTGTTTGCTTTCTCCTCTGATAACGGGTACAGCACGTTCCAACTTCTATGTGGGTATTTGCTGACTGCTTGCAACCCATTGTTCCTAGTGTAATATTTCCCATAATCTACAGATTTAAGGTTTTCTTGGTACTGAATCAAAAGTTGACATAGCCTGTTCAGCACATTCTGCTATATCTTGTATCAATGTAAGGATATTTTACAAATATATTTTCATTTATATTAAAAATAGTGAGATCCCAGCCGAGTTCTGCACTTTATTCTATTCCTATACAAATTATTTTGCTGGAAAATATGAGTCTTGTGGCAAGAAGAAATTTGTTATATGGCTGAGATATAGCGTAAATGCCATTTGCAAATTAGATCTGTGTCCCTATTGCTGGGTGAAATCCAGAAAACAACAGTGTCCACTGCTAACAAAAATGATCAGTGCCTCCCTTGGCAGAGCAAAATCTATCAGTCTTCCTAGCAAATCGAATAATCTGTCTAATTCTTAAAGAAAAAGAAATCGGGTACATCTCAGCAGGACTTGCTGCTGTGCACACATCATCTCTGGGCTCAAATCCCTGCACTTGCTGCAACCCCACTTGTCAGTTTCAGGTCTCAGTCTTTATCTTCAAAGCCATCAACAGGTCAAAAGTTTCAGAGGGATAGACGTGTTAGTGTGTAATAGAAAAAAACTTAAAAAACAATGAATAGTCCTTCAGCACCTTAAAGACTAACAAAAATGTCTTAAAGCTGGTTCCGGGGAAGTGCCGCTCGGAGCCCGGGATCAGCTGGGGAGTCCTAGCTGACTCCAGGCTCCCCGCGACATTTCCCCAGAACACGGGATCAGATGCAGACTCCTCAGCTGACCCCAGGTTCCTGAGAAGTGCCCTGTGGAAACTGGGATCAGCTGGGGAGTCCCCAGCTGACCCCAGGCTCCACTGTGCCTTTGAAATGCGCGGAGGTGGCTGTTTCAGAGGGGCAGCCGCCGCACAGATGAACTGAGATCAGTGGCACAGCAGCTGCCCCTTTGAAACTGCTGCTTCCCCACCTTTCAAAGGGGCAGTGATGCCCGGGGTCATTTTGAATTGGAATGAAAAGAAGATTTTGAATCTTGAAATCTTCCACACAATAAAATGTTCATTCTTTGCACACCTTTACTCGCAGGTGATCATGAATGTGGTTATCCTGTAGAGTTGTTGGTTGTCCCGAAAGAATTAATACTAGTAATTTTTTTATGTTAAATATTAACAAGGATAGAAATACTCAGCTCTCTGTAGGCATCCTAATATCCAAATTTGTCCTAAAATATGTCACATCTGTAAGGGTTATATACTTTATCTACATCAGAGGCATATAAATACCAAAGTTTGCATAGTCTTTGGGTCTTCTGTTTTCAAGAGATTATATTAGCCATATGGAGGTTAATCTATGTACAACTCCTCTGTAAGAAAAAGTTCAGGGCTTTTATTGTCTGTATTTGTTTATATTGTACATTTATGCTTGAGATAGAAGATTCCATTTTATAGTTATTATAGTTACTATTTGAAGTACATTGCTCTAATGACTGTTGGTTACTCTTAATATATAGTAATTTTAAAAAATGATTGAAGGGGGGGGCATGGAGATTAAGTTACTCAAAGTACAGGGGAATAGAAATGCTTAACACAAAACATAGGAAACATACCAACATGATTAAAATAAATGTTCCAGATATAAAGAAGGCCATTTAACTTTTAACTGCTAGTGCCGTTTGGAGATAAATATCAGTACATCAGTAAAATCTGTGTACTTGGGTGTATCCTGTTTGCAGTTTCACTGGTGTTAAATCCAAACTCCAGTTAAAGAGTTTGATCCACTCCTATCAGCTCACAGTTAGATAAGGAGCTATCTCTAAGGATCAGAGTTCTCTTAGCCCTTGCTTTATTAGTTAAGGAGGGTACAAAAATCCTTCTCTCCTCAATATCTTGCAACGTCTCTTTAAGGATCAGGCAGAGTTGCAGTCCTTATTCACTCAACATGTGGCAGGAGGCCAGCTTGCAAAGCCACATCCAGTAAAGGAGTATAGCCACAGGTATTGGAGTGCTCCAGGAAGAGATTACAGATAAGAATGATTTAGTACATTGGAATCAATTTAAATGACTTGCCATTAACTGGATAATACACACTCATTACATTGTTTGCCAAGCCCCAAAGACAATTCTGTCTTTGCTTTTTTGCAGGTGGATGCATGCACATGAAATGTCCTCAAGCTCAATGCAGATTTGAGTGGTGCTGGAACTGTGGTTTAGAGTGGAACAGGACCTGCATGGGAGACCACTGGTTTGACTAATAGTTCAGTAGTGCTAAGGACAACCAACCACTTGATTGTTTTCTGGGTCAAATCCTGAACTCTCTGCTTCGGCTAAACTCCCATTGGCTTCTGGAACAAGGAGTTCAGAATCAGGCCTTTGTTTTATTTTCTTGTATATCAGTGCACACTAAAAATTGAGTTCAAGTAACCATAAGAGTTTTAAACCCACAAATAAGGCAGGAGAAATTCAGATGTCCAGACTCACTCGTACTAGCACAGGAGGGCTAAATTATAGCTCCCTGCTTGATGGCACTCTCCTGGTATAAAAGGCAGGCAATGTCACCACCAGCAACTCTCCCTGGAGTTCTGTTCCTTCAGTTACAATCAGGGCTCCACAAATCTCATCTGCAAAAGCAGCAATGAGCATGTGCACTGAATCAAAGCTATCCTGATCCCTGCCCTTTCTCAGCACAATCCAGTTTTGGGGAAATTCTGGTGGAAGGGAAGCTGTGGTAATTTTCTGTCTTTACAGTCTTCTACTCTTGCAGATTATCAGATGGGGCCTTGGCTCTGACCCAGAGTCATAGTAGAAACTGCAGACTTAGACATTCTATCTGTGCATGTATATTTGAAACATAAGTTACAAAACACCAATCAATATATCCCTTACCATTCATATTGTATGCAGCTCTTACAGGTTTAGTAAAAGATGCTGTTTCAGCCTGAATGCTGAATATTTTTGCTGTGGTGCCTGCAAGTCAGAGTAACAGAGTTATGTGAGCTAGAGTTCTAAGATTTTGTTTTGCTTACAGCAATAGTTTTGACATGATGGGGGGGGGGGCAGCTTCTTGGGGTTTATTAATAGCACAATGGTGGTTCTACGGAGATTTATTATGATTTGTATGTAATTCTGAAAATGTGTTCACTGCATCAACAATTAAGGTACCTGAATTCATTTTGGTGAGTGCATGGAGGGCACCAGGTATTTGCCACACCTCAACATCTGAAAATCCTTTCTATCTAACCTGCTTTAAACGATTTTGTTTTTGTTTTTTAAGCACCAAGAGGCCAATCATAGACAATGTAAGGATTTGCACAACTCACTTAAATTACAGAAGAAGAATAAAGCTGTTGAAATGAGTGGACTTCTGTGCTCCTTTTTCTCCTTTTTGCATTTGAATATAATATAAATGAGTAAAAGATTTAGGACCTGATCTTTAGCTGATGTAAATCAATTTATACTAGTTGAGAATTTAGTCCATTGATTCAGAACTTGTTTATTAGAAGAAAATAAATTCCAGGGCTAAGAACTGTAGATCTACATAACACTTAGGCTATGTCTACACAGCAATGTTATTTTGGAATAACTGAGATTATTCCAAAATAACATAGTCCACGTCTACACTATGAGTAGTTATTTTGACATGATGTCAAAATAACGGCGAACTGGAGGACTTCTTACTCTGACTCCTGTAACCTTCATTTTATGAGGAATAAGGGAAGTCGGAGAAAGAGAGCTCTACCCTGAACTTCCTGCTGTGTGAGCAGCGCCAAAAGCTGAAATACGCAATTGACATAGCTGAAGTTGCTTAGCTTTAGCCCTGCTGTGTAGATGTACCCTTACTTTCAGATGCTTATAACCTAGCCTTAAAGCAAGCAAATATAGAAACAAAAAATCCTTGATTCAGACTTGGAACATGAAGTTCATGTAGGTCTAGGGAGTGGGTTCCTACTTACTCATCACTTTGAGGAAACACATGAGAGCCTGCAGTCATCTTAGGTGGGGGGCAGGTCATTACATAAAAAGTATGTGGAGTTGATAAAACTGAGTAAATACAGAGAGTAGAGAGAAAAGTCAGAGGAACAGAAAGTGTGAGGAAAAGAGAAGAGAAGCTTTAACATAAGAGAGCAAAAGGTTAATTGTTTTAAGATCAATTGTTCCCTGGGGCTCTAAAAAACCAAAATGTACATGCAACTAGCTCTATTAAAGTATGGATTGCAGTATTGTAATGTAGCATAGCACATTCCAAATGTATCACCTTCACAGGCATTTTATTCTTTAGATCTGTATCCAGGATGTGGTTCCGTACACTAGGGTGTATTTTATAGTTTACATGACCTGTTGTCAGCTAGCTAGTGCTAACCACACTGTAAAAGTAATTCTTATTTTTATGCAGTATAAACTGGGAGGTCAACCACGCTTAATTTGTGCCAGGGCTTGCCTGAGCTAAGACTCAGCACCCCTGGGATTGGCAGTTTCTAGTGCTGGCACCTGTGGCTTCATGAATCCACTATGAAAGTAAAAAAAAAATGCTTGAGTCCCGTCACCTTTTTAATTACAAATTAAATACTACATCACTGTGTTTCGAATCCACAAACACTTAGATTAAGCTGAGACACCAACTCTCTTTCCTACAATTGCTTAACATATTTCTTACAAAGGAAGGACAAATGTGTTGGCTGTATGATGCGTTTCGCCAGGATAGTACCCTCTCTCAAGAGTTAATGTCTCAGTTATAATGTGTAGAAATATGCAATTTATGTTGCTGATCCAAAACCTGTTGAGGTCAATGGGCTTTGGACAGTCTTTTTGGAATCCCAATAGAAGAAGGTTATGAATAATAAGATTAGAAATACCTTGTCTAAAAAAAGACTTGTCAGAGGTTTGGGATTATTAACATTTGTCCAAGATATAATCAAGGAAGCAAAGAGGAGAAAAGGACTTGGGGTTCGTTTTCAAGGCCCGACTCTCTGTCCCCACATGTAACTCTCATTGAACTCAGTAATCCCCATGCACACATCACAGCTGTGGAATTAGGCTCCAGGAACCAAACTCTGCTTGCCTTTCTGACCTGGAAGTTTTTAAGAATAGGTTAGATAAACACCTGTCAGAGATGGACTGGGTGTATTTCATACTGGCACAGGGAGGGGTCTGGACTGTATGACCTCTTGAGTTCCCTTCCAGCCCTACATTACTGTGATTCTACATTCCCCAGATCACCATTTCCTTGCCTCCGGGTGGCATCTCGAACTGAGGAATTTCTGAGGTGGGCTGATTAGGCAGTCTGTCTGTCCTAAGTGTCTTGTCTCTCCACTGACATTTTCCAGGAAGACCTTATAGGCAATATACATGGTCTTGTGTTCGCAGCAGGCTTGAGATTTTGTCAAAGATGAGAGCTGGGTGCAATCTTCCTCTCTGAAATTCCTTCTCTAACTCCCAAATTTCAGTGCCTTTTACTTCCCATGATCTGGGGGGAATACCTGGATTCTGATTCATTCAAAAGGTATATGGTGAACTTTCTTGGAATCTAGTTTGCACTTTTGAAAGAAGAGGTGGCTTTTTTGTTGTTCTTGAAATTGAGATCAAAACCATTACTTTGAGCAGGTTTCGTGCCATTTTCTCTTCTGGAGTCCTGTGAGAAGAGAAACAGTATTTAAATGAGCCTCCTTGATACTCTGAAATAGCAAACCCCAGGTATGTTACCGAGAAAATCTCATCTTTAAATATACGGACTTTTGGTAAAACAGACTATTCTATACAGCACTGTTTCTTGAAGAGTGGGCTGAACCCCTGATAAGTGGGAAGAGATTTTGGACAAATCTCTAGGGTGTTCTCCAGAGCAGATTACCTTTTGTTTTATTTTCTAAAAGTAAGTTTCTATCTGTGATGGTTGCAAGGAAAATCAAGAAGTTCAGCTGATACAGAGAAATTACCTGAATTTGCAGAGATCTTGGGAAAATGACTCTGAGGTGAGAACTTCTCTATTCCTTTCAGTGGATTCTAGCTCAGTGTTTCTCAACCAGTGGTATGAATACCTATAGGGGTACTTGAGAGAAGTCTGGGGAGAACGTCAACATCACTGAAATTTGGAGAAAACTGAATTTTTGTTTTAAGTTTTAAAGTTCTTTATTATTTTTGTACTTTTTACACCCAAAAACATCATTGACCACCCAGCTACAATTAAGTTGTTTAAACAAATGTCTTGCGTTGCAATGGTAGAAAAAAATTGTGTGTGTCTGAAAACTGTAGGTACTGGGGGTACTTATAATTTTTTTTAAAGGGGTACTTTATAAAAAAAGGTTGAAAAACACTGTTCTAACTCACATATCAGCAAGGATACTTTAAATTAACTTTTTCATTGCCAATTAAAGCATTAGAGGAAGTATGTTGTGTAGATCAAAATGTGCATGTTCCACAGTGGGGAAGGTACTAAGATTTATCTGAAGGAGAAGAGGAAGCAGAAATGGTTTCATGTCCCTGAAAGGGAATTTCAGATTTCGAAAGTTTGGGAAACCTTGCTATAAGGAGATACTGTTCACCTTTGTGTTCCTGAACTGGTGTGATACCCTTCATTCTCTGCACCTCCGTTTTCCCATCTGTAAGATGGGGATAATGATCTCTCTGTACTTCTACAGTGCTTTCTAAATCCGCAGATAAAAATCACTGTGTGTAACTGCTAAATATGGTTATATTTTTATCATTCATTTTCAATATTATTTTAACTCACTAACTTTCTCATCCTTCCAGTATTTTCACGTGTTTGGAAATCAACGTGTTTGGAAGTATCTGGGGAAATTTACATGTAATGTGCATTTTTTTAGAAAACATTAAAAGTACAATTAATTACACATATTATTGTCAGTGAATAGATGTTCAGTTTGGATTAACACAGTAATCACTCATCCTGTTTTAGACTAACTGCTCTTCAAACTTGAAAGCGTTATTCTGAAACTTGAGATCATTGAAAGGAAGTGAAGTATTGTGTCTCCATTAGATTTTTTTTAGATTTGCTCATAATAGAGCAATAGTTGTTAAAACTCTCTATGTTAACTCAGTCTTTGTAATCCCTACCTTACATTAAGATTTACTTTGGGAAATAATTAATTATATAATCTTATATGGACAGATAGTATGTACCCTACAACTCCACTGAAATGATGGTATAAGTCAGCAGTGGGAAAATACTGTCTGCCTGGACTAGCCCCAACAGGCTCCCATATTTCCCATATTTACCTATGCCTCTGCAGGTCCAGGGGATCACAGCTTCTGCTGGCTGCAAGTCGCTGTTCCCCACCAGTGGGAGCTGCGATCACCCATACCTCTGGAGGTGCAGGTAAATATAGCGGCAGCAGCCCACCAAGGATTAACCCAGGTGAACCACTGCTGTTTTATTGCCTACCCTTGGTATAAGCACACTGGACCTGATCTTGATATCACTGATGTTGGTATAACTTGACAGATTTCAGTGCCATTACGCTGGATTTATAACCATGTAAATAAGGTCATTAGAATCAGGCCTACAGTATTGCACTCTATTCCCCAGAAATTACCATAACAATGAATGGAAAAACTACCCATTCAGTGCCGACTGATAATGGCAAAAAGCCTGATTCAAATAAAAAGAAGCGAATAAGAATCTTTCCACTGATTCAGTGGGCTTTGGATCAGGCTAATTGAACACCTCAATTATGAAATATTGTTTCAGATCCAGACAAGAGATCCAATCCAAAACCCACTGAAGTCAGTGAAAAGACTCGGTGGGCTTCTATGCTATCAGGACAGAATTTAGAACACTGGCAGGATAGTCTTGGCACTGCTACTTCCTATGCACATTTTGTCTCCAGAGCTATCTGTTCTGTGCCCACTGTTATACCTTGGTTCGGTGATGTGATGGGAGCCTCAAGGGTTAAAGCTGACTACCCAGTGAAAACTACTGGATGATGGTGAAACAAATTATTTTTATTAAGTGGAATGATTTTTTTATCAAAACTAACAATTAGCAAATGTTTTTTTTTTAAACTAGCAATTGCTTAATACTTTTACAGCATAGAAAAGCTTGGGCACAATTATACTTAACTGATTACAATTCTTTGATTACAATTCACTTATATTAAATTACTATCTCTAATTTGCTTAATGAAAAATACAAAAACAAAGCCAATATAATGATAATAAAAACTTTGTCCAAAGCTAGCCCCTCTATGGTTATTTTAGGGCAGCTGGTGTCATAAATCTACTTTTACAACTTAACAACTCCTGGGCTTCTATTTCTAACACTTATACTTAGCCTAAATACCACACTACTATACAACACAAAATTATACAATTTACACAGTGTGGTTAACAGAACTTAGATACGCTTTACAGAATTACACAGTGAAATTAACACAATTTAACTATTAATTAAACCAATAACTAATACATTTAAGCAGTACTTACAAATCCAGAAACAATAACAACAGAAAGACACACTAGAACTCGGAGCATGCTCAGGACTCGTGCACCCCTATATTTGACTCGAAGGGTGGGGAGGCAGCCTCAGGGTGATCAATCCTTTAGCCGGGCAAAAAAAAGACACGTGCCCTCAATACACGGCACCTCCGTCGAACAAAGGGGTAGAGGGTCTTTTATACAAAAATTCGGTGTCTGATGCCATGCTAGGGTCTGCATTTGGCAGGGCCTGAT